CGTTTTGTGTATGAAAATAGGTAGGAAAAACTTTTTTTTAATTTTTCTGTGTGGTTATCGATTTCGGCATCATCAGTTCATGCTATAAAATATATATGTATACCTCGATGTATACATAAACTTTAAGAAACAACAAATCTCAAGTAGGTAATTGACAATCTGAAAAACAAGGACTCCTATTTTCCAGCCTTTCGAATCTTTTTCAATCAAATCAAAGCTGATTATCTCTATAAATATGTGTACATAATTTTAATTTTAACAAATAATTCCACAAAAAATAAATCAAAATTAATATTTAATGAAAAGAATTCAAAATTTAATGTACAAGTAATGAGAAAGTTAACTTCAAGTAAAATATTAAAATATGAAGAGAATTTTGAAATAAAGAGATGAGCTTTGTTTTTGGAAAATTGGGATATCTCGCCCAAACGATTTCTTTATACTAGAAAAATAAAAGGATATAATGGGTCTATCAATACTGCAAAAATCCCCCATTTCAATAAAGTATTGGTCGAGAAAACCACTGAGCTATTTTATTGTACAAGCTGCCGATATTTAAAGGTAGGTATTTTTTTAATTTTTTGGGTATTTGTAGACACTCTTGTTTATTTTGTGTCATTTTGAAGTATTTTCTTTGGTGTTCTTTGCGTATTCAATGGATACTAAGGAGGTATTTCAGGAGTCTTCTCTAAAAAGTAACGCGAGAAGTAACGGCTTCTTGCCAATTTTTCAATTTAATATAGTAGGATTGCCCTCAGATGGCGCCGAAGATTACGAGTCGCCTCGCGAGTTGCTTTGTGTAAAATTTTTAAATTATGGTTTTAGAAGCACTAAATTTTGCGAGAAACTTCCCAAGATCCTAACAAATACTTTCCCAAGGGTAACACTGCGGATTTTTTGAATATTAACTGATGCGATTGCGTGCACTCAAGGCCCGTTTTTTCTACATAAGCTACGATATAATACAAGGTATAATAATGCTAATAATTATTTTGGTCATACTGAGCCAGTACTCTACAGTGTGATTGATTTTCCGTGCCCAATCGTATAGGTATTTGTTTTATTATTGGAGATAGGAAAATAGTGTAAGAAGAAAAAGTACTCCACTTTCAATTTCTGATAAAGCTACAATTTAAAAAAAATGTGATATAATAACAAAAGAGCATTAGAAAACAACTAATAATTTTTTTTAATAAAACGGTTACTTTTTTCTGTGATATTCTCAGAGTTTGGAATTCTCTTTACAATGATATCAAATATCGAAATTAAACCTGCAGTAATGTTTTTAAAACCAATCGCAGTAACAGTGGAAATTTAAACAAAAACAAAAGAGTCTTTCACTTGTCATGTCTGCCACAAGATCAGTTTAGTGAACAATATAACTTATAAGAACCACAATGCAACAAAATAATGATTACACAAATGATAGTTAAGAGGTGTAATGTAATGATAATGCATAGGAAGCAAGTGCAATGTATTTATATTTATTAAGTTATAATAATTATTCCTGTAACTGCTTTTCATTTGTTTTCTTCGATTACTGTTGTAAATTTTATGTTTTTGTTTAAATTTCCAGTTAGGTACTGCCTCGGTTACTGCGATCGGTTATAAACACATTACTGTAGCTTTAATTTCTAAGGTAATTATAGCACATATTTATCATTGTAAAGAGAATTTTAAGATTTTTAAGAATATCACAGAAAAAAGTAACCGTTCTATTTAAAAAATAATAATTTGTTTTCTGATGCTTTTTTGTTTATATCACGCTTTATCAGAAATTGAAAGTAGCGTATTTTTTCTTCTTGCACTATTTTCCTATCTCCAATAATAAAAGAAATATAGGTACGCTGGGACACACATAATCAACCACACTGTATAATGTGTTAGGTACAATATTCGACCACTTTAAGCACCTTTTTACTCGTCATTAAGCGTTTCCTTACAAATCATCACTTAGTTTAATATACTGTAATTTTACTTCTACTTAGTGCAATTGCACATGCATGATGTCCTGCAGAATCCAGTGCAGCAGCATTTAGATTTAAATTGTTGGGTATTTAAGGCATTTTTTTCGGAAAATAAAGCTTTTTGTTAAAATTGTACACATTTCAGGCAGTGGTTTCCCTCTCAGTATTGGCCGACAATGGCCTCCATTTAAACAAAGTCACAACTGTACCATACAGCTCAAAAAACGTTGCTCTGTAGCATTATACGCACATTTCCTAAACATTTTCTTTTAACCCCCTCAAAAAATGTGCATGCATTTTTGAAATAGTCTCCTTACAAGCTATAAATGAAATCAGAGATCATTCATCGCGGATCCAGCGATTTCAACAGATGAAATCTTATGTCAAATAATGGATGTTACGATTATCTACATGCACTGCCATTTCCCTTAGGAGAACGACCAATGGAATTACAAAAATTGAGACGAGAACACAAAGAAACCCCACTTTAATAAAGCTATAGCTCTTGGTGTTTTTGTCTAGCGGTCACAATAAGAGTTCCAGGATTTACTTCATCACAATTTCTGCGACTGCGATTTAAAATTTCGGTTAAGATTTTTTGCGTTAAGTGATTTTGAGAGATTCTCCTACGACAGATGATTTCGTTGACTGGGAGGGTTCAAGCGTATTTCGGTAAAAGTGTACATGCTATTTTTTAAAAAGGAGACAGTTTTTGGAATTGGTTTGTTACAAATGTGAAAGGCACACATTTTTTAGCTTATTGCCTATTTCAAAGTCACTGAGGTAGCGTCAACTAGAAACACAATAAAATGCAGATTTGCTGCTAATTTATTGCTACTTTAAAATTTAAATTGGGGGGTGCTGTATAGGTAATAAATACGATATTATTCCATTCAGTTAGAATCCTCCAATGTTATAACAATTTTTCTGCGAAAAAAATAGCAAGTACTTACTGATTCGCCTATGAACTATAGGTAAAATCGAGGGTAAAATTTTCAAAAATAAAAAAATTAGTATACAGCTTTTTGGGTAATTTAATTTTAACATTATTAAATTCAGGGTTTTGTCGAGAAAAAAACAATCATAATTATTGATATACTGGACCAAATTTGATATTTTTCGCCTCTATTTTAATTTCATAAATATTACCTACAGGTCTCTCGCACAATTCGTGCTGATTTGTATTGGCAATAGAAATAAATTACGATTATAATTTGGGACGGTTTCATCAGGGTGGATTGTGTATAGTTTCGGAATCTGAAAAATGAAACTATACTCTGAAAATGTACTATTCCGGTTTGTTCAGGCAGCAACAGCGGGATAAATTCATTCCTTTAATAATTAGTGGAAAATCAGCCCATCAGGGTAAACGAGGCTACAAATGGGAACAAATTCCATCATTTTGAATGAAAGTTATATAGTAATAACAGCAAGTCGAACCTCAATTATGATTCAACCTCTTACCTATCATTCCTTAAATTTTGTAGTAAAATGGCATGGTTTAAGTGTCCTTTAGTTTCAAAACATGCAGTACCGAGTACCGGCATTATCAAACATATCCATAAAACAACAAGAATGGAGTTCAGATAAAATTGCGTTCTGCTCGATAATAATAAATTGCATTTGTGTAAAGGGGTTATCAATTATTGGTTTAAAAGATACCGAAATCTCTTATGCAAAAGCTTCTGGCAATGATGAACCTCATTTCCCTTGGTGTAAGAAATACAAGAAGTGGAAAACTGGTCAAAGGCACTCGATATTATCTACTCTTTGGTAGCAAACACTTATATTCTCCCTTTGGGGCACCTGAAGCACTTAAAATCGTTATAACACCTTGTGCATGTAATGCTGGAAGTGCTTGGGAAATATAAGGAAAAAATTCAGTAGTTTTTAAAAATGATTGTGTCATTTAACCGCGGAATTTTAGTAAGTAATTGCGTATCCGAATACAATTTTGATCGCAAAAAGCAGTGCCAAATATGGCACGCTATCCACAAATGGAACGATTGCTTTTTTATTGGTACGAATTCTGGAAATGTCCACATTTATAAATTTCGGCCCACCACCGTTTCAGGTTAAAGAGAAAACCGCAATTTTCTAAAATCTACCATTTTGATTTACATTAGCATGTGGAACTTTCTACACCTATACCTACCCCCATCCATTGAGAGTCGAAAGTGCATGTATCGGAGATTAGGGCAAACTTAAGGTGTAAAATTCTACAATTAACTAACTAAAAGTAATTAGAGCTTTCACTCAGAAGTCCTCGCGATATTCCAGGAGGACCAATTCCCGTTTTCCTGACATGAAAACCGAAAAAAGTTCCAAAAGAAACACGCGTTTTCATTTAAGGTCGCGGCTCTTTTATAAAGTAATTGATCGGACATTTAAGGGCAACACAGACGCAGACCGGTATTCGGGAAGGTGCTATTTCGGCCATAAAATAGATTTGGTTTCCATAAAAATGAAAACCACCGAAGGCGTTTTATGATTCTCCTCCGTCCGAAACCTTGGGGAAGGTCTTACGGCCTATTGCATATTGGGCGGGAATGTTGGTGATTTTCGGAAAGGTATGCGACGATCCTTGCTTCATCGAAGTTACCGTAAGCAAATTTCGGCCGAGTTTTTTTTGTATGCCAAACGAACTAGAAAGTGATGGATTTTGAAACATGAATGGGAAAGTAAGCGCGTATCGAAAATTGGCCCACACAATTAAAATTGGGTTTTGTCCGAAATTTATCAGCGCACTGCACGCAATAAGTAATCAAGTACAATAAAATGATAATACCGGCGCAGGTAATTTGTAGAATTAATTTATGATAGAGGCGACAATGGGAAAGGTTTTTGGATTGCAAATTTGAATACGCCCCATTCGGGATAATGCTGGAGCACGCTCGAGCTTTAAAGTGTCATTCTCAATCACGTGTCGCTTACAAAAAAGCTGTGGTACCGCACGCGCGCGCGCTTTTTTTCCACCGGTGGTACATAAATCGCAATACAATTTGCATACATCTCCAGACTCCCTTTTTTTACCTGAGAACATTCCTAAAGCATGTCATCCACAAAAACACCAGAGTCACCAAACCATTTGAACACTGATCACATTTACACACAGACCCAGCACATCACTCCGGCATAAATCAAAACGTTCCAAACGTGCAAAAATTAAATTGTAACCAAATCAACTCAAAATAATAGAAAAAAAACGTGTGACCAGGCGACGTTGTGGCAACATAACCGTGCGATGTATAAGCTACGACTGTTTAGTGCATAAACTTGACAGCCAATGAGGGGCTGTTTAAAGAGCGTGGAGGGGATCTTTCTCCTACTCCTTTACACCTGAAAAGTGGGGGCATTAGTGGGGAAACATAAAAGCACGGTTGAATGCTCCCGAAATAAGTTTAGAGCAGATTTACAATAATTCCAGTTTTTTTTCTCTTTACTTACGGTTATTGTTCTTTGTATTGTAATTAGTTTTCATTAAGCGAGTCTCGGCTGAAAAACTTGCACGTGAAAATTTTCCGCCTCGAGAGAGGTACATCGTTAATTATAAAATCAATGAAGCCGTGGGGGAGGTTTTCGCGGAAAGATTGAATTTTAGCAAAATGGCCTACTTCGTCATATCTCAAATTATGATGCGGTTCACTTAATTATCGTTTAAACGTTGAGTTATGACTTTACTCGGTTTCTGTATTTTAGCCAGGGAAAATACCATCCTAAATCCCGATCTTTTCAATAATAGGAATACTGGTGAACAAACTTTAACTGAAAAAATTGCATCTTCTGAATTTACTTTACCTCTGAATTGAATAACATCTGAAAACGCCATTCCGTGCAAAAAATCGCCCCAAACGTAAAATTGGGGCGCAACAAATGAGTTCGAATAGTGCACTTTTGAGCATTTTCACAGGGTTTTTGAAATTCATAAAGAAAAGGAAAATCATTCAAATTGTGTTCAAAATATTGCGGTTTGTCAAATCGGTGGATATCAGTTCGATTTATGCAGTAATTTTGGTTGAAGTCTAACGATATTAAATACCTAGGCACTGGGGGTGTCAAAGATCACGGTTTTACAACTTTTATATCAATTTTCCACTTACCGTCAAAGCCTCTGGAATCTCTTTAGCTCACCAGCATCAAGGAGAGCGTAGATCTTTTATAGATTTACCTATACCTTTGTGAATATTGCACAGGAAAACAACATTCAAGAAATAATAAGAATCATAGAAAAATAGTACAAGTGAATCTCTGCGCTTTTGGTGGGAATTTTTGGTATTTTTTGGTTTAACCACAACTTTAACCGTTTATCTGTTTCTCGGTGCAAGATTATCAGTAAGCAAGGTTAAAAATAACAAAAAATTTAAACCCGTCGTTTTATCTGGTTTAACTATAATTTCTGTGTTCAACCTAAACCGTAACGTGATTATTTTGGTGTATTTTGGCATTTTGAGAAGATGGAAAATCAACATCTGAAAATATAGCTATAGTTGTTGAGAGTGATTTACTGTTTACTCTGCTTAACCACCAGTACAATCATTTGGCAAAGAACAAAATGCCAAGGGAGCTGTTTTAAATCTCAACCAAACCTAGCAGAAGATGAAACCGGAAAATTGTAGCTTCACACCCCTTTCCTCACTTCGGCGGCACCGAAATCGCTAGGGATTTTTGGTATAGAATGACCAGACTATTTAAAGGATGATGAGTGTACATTTATTATGAAATAGGATATTTAAACAATTTATAATAATAAATATCTAATGAAAATTCGAGAACATACTAACAAAACACATACATTTTCAATTACGAATTAATTTTATCTAATTTTAGATATGTGCCTTTATTTTCATAAATACAACTTGTTCTTGAAGGGAAAATATGGGATTTCCATTGAAATTCGTACTTATTTGTATTTATTTTTTACGTAATTTTTATACAGGTTGGGTTGGGTAAATCATTGTGTAGTAGATACCTAGTTAGTTTTCTGATGGGAATATTGCATGTTCCCTAAAGAAATCAAGTTTAATAATTTTAAAGAGTGCAGTGCTGCAAAATTAAGGGATTTTGTATAGGCTCTAATTCTAATTAATTCTAATTCGATCCTTGCCTTGATAAAAAATTCGCCTGGCTTCGAATTTCAAGAGCAAAATAAGGTATGAATGGGCACCTCTCCTAAATACCAAAAATATCTCTCTGAAAACTAGCGTTTACGTCCCGAGTGCAGTCTTTCTAATTAGAAGAACTGACACACATTTGGCACAGTCAAAAACGTTACTGTAGTGTTTTCTTTCATAATGAAGGGTGGAAATTAAATCACCACCTACAGGTTAGGCAAACCAAATTGAGTAATTTAGACGCAAAAAAGAATTAAAAAGGCACATCCTTATCGGATTTGTGATATTTTTGGATAAATACAAATGTTAAAACTTCCTACCTTAATTTTGAGGCCCTCCATTCTTTATTTCCAGGAACTACACTTTTTTAAACAAATCTTTATTCAACTGTATCTTTAAACAAACAAAATTACACCCGAAATGGTCATTAACACTCTCGATACTGATCAATTCAATCGTAAATAATTTATTTGCACCTGCAAACATGTGTCATCGTCCGAAATTCAAAAATGTGATAAAGGATTAGAGCGCATGACCATATGTCCATAACTTGTTCAAGACGCAACATTAACAAGGCCTTATCGCATCTTACCTGACTCATAAACTTTCCAAATTGTTATACATTTAGCTCAAATTTATACGTTTAAAAATCCATGGTGGCGTATTTTGCGAATAATGTTTGAAAACGTAGGCGTTCGAAAATTAGGGCTTTACTTTTCAATCCCATTACCTCAAGCAATTAAAGCTTGGTTTCTTCTTCTAAGGTGTTGGTCAGACCACCAGAATTGCAAAAATAATGTAAGGGCTTAAAATATAGCCAATTACGAAACTTTAATAAAAGATGTCCACAGTTGGCTTCATGCGTTGGAAGCTTCATTAAGAAATTTGATATAAAACATTTAAAAAACGCCAAAAAAACTGAGCCATTCACGACTCCAAATCTGCTGCATATTCTTTGAAATGGGAGGAGTTTTCTAGCTCGAGCTAGATGACTATTTTGTTTGTTGGACATGTCAAAATTTCATCAAATGTCGACGTTTTAGATCATCTTAAGCAACTTTTAAAGAATAAAATTTTTTCCGTCTGTATGTATGTAGGTACGTTGGCAATTGTCCGATATAACGGCTCGACCGATTTTGTTAAAATTTTGAATATGTATATTGAGAATACGGAAACGAAAAACAACGGGTCGGATTTTTGGAAAAAGATTGGAGCACCACAACGGCACCGACCTTTTTTTTCAAATCATCGAACTTTCTCTTTCTGTGTACAACCCTCAAAAATTACGCTAGGTTTTAGTCCAAAAAAAACGGAACAATGAAAAACTAACATTTTGTTCAGAAAAAGGCTTATTTTGATTTGGTTAAAATTTTGGCAGTGTACATTAGGTATAAAGGGTGTAAAATTGTTAAAAGCGTGTTTTGTGATATCTGGTTGAGCTAAGATGCTGTTCTGTCAAGAATTTGGCACCAGATTTTGAATATGTTTTCACTGGAACTAAAATTGTAAAGGGTATTGTATCTAACCTTCAAAAATGTGATGAAATAAAACAATTTCGTCTAAGGAATGTACGGTGTATAAAATAAAGTGTAAAATACAGGAGACGATGTTAATATTAGAAAAAAACGGGAGTTTCCACTCCTGCTTACTAAAAATAGGGAATTGCATAGGAAAATTCGCTCTGGTAAATTCAATCCAGGAAAATTTATTCGCCAAAAGAAGTAGTACTTGCGTTTGTTATATTGGAGCGTGCCCAAATCCGTGAAAGATTTCGCGAAAACTCACCCCCAGGAAAGATTAATCCAAAATTCAGGGGAAGCAGTATTTGGGAGCTAGACAAATGGATTATTTTATTTGATTCATCATTAAATTGTCTCTGTGTATTTAAAAAATTGACAGACGCATGAGGCTACCCCAAGGAAATTAAGGAAATTGGTGGGATCTCGATTACTGCATTACTTAGTAAATCATGAATCAGCAAAGAGATGGGGCGAGTAGTTTAAGGAACATAAAATCGATAATAATTCGATATAAAATATTTGTAAGAGAATATTCTACAGGCGGGTGATCATGGACAGGTTCCGATTTTATGTGGTCATGGACTAATATAATTTGCTCTGGTCATTTTGTTATAAAAAATTCATGTACGAAAAATGAGCAAATTATAGAAACAACCATTTTTGTATTTCAATTACTACAATACCAAAATACAGGGTGTGCAGCGACTAAATCTATTAGTATATGAGAAACTAATACGAATAGATTTCCGAAAAGCACGCTTCAGCTAGGGTATTTTCAATTTTGATTTCCAGTTATACCAGAAGTTGGCCCACACTCTCTCATTTTAAACTGGATTCCCTACTTAATTTTTTCCCTACGCAAAATTTGCAGTAAACTTGAAGAACCATAAACTTAATTCGAACGTTACGTTTTTAAATAATTTGATATTGTAGCGAATATTCCAGAAATCCCCATAGACATCGATACGCCATGAAGGATTAGTCATCGGCGATAGAGAACTAAGGCGGATGTGACGCAATCTTTTATGGGAATGTGACGGGTTTTGTTCTAGGATATTCGAGAATACTCGCGACCATTCGGGAATACTCGAATTTTTACTATATAACCAAATCGAATTGTGTTTCAGTTGACTTCTACTTCTCTAATTTCAACGCCGAAGTAATAAATATTTTGTGACGTTATAAATTGTGATGTGTTTTTAACTGTTATAAATCAATTCATTTAAAGCCTATTATAAATTTATTGCTAATTAAATATAAATAAATAAAGCACGTAATTAAATTTACGTTACAATATTATTCAACATTTTTGGAAAATGTGCTTCTTCACAACATAAATTACTCTTTGAAGGGCAAGCAAAATATATTTACACCCATTGTTTTCAAAATTTGCGTAAATGAAGAATAAACATTAGGTAGGTACTAAATTTATAAGAACCACTCAAAAAATGTATACAAAACATTTTTTTAAACAAGCCTTATATGGTATTTAAAATTATATAAAATGTGCTACCAATCGACGTACTTTAAATTTGTTATCAGTCAGTGGCGTACTTCTGTATGGCCAAGGGGGGCTATTTTTTAACCAATAGCTTTTCTTACATCTTATTAAAAAGTATAGTTTTTTTTTATATGGAAGT